CTCTGATGAGCTATGGATCCGCATTCTGCAAGGAAAATATTTTACAACTAATGCTGCAGGTGCCATGACCATGAAGAAAAGCAATTTCTCAAGACTTTGGAGAGGGATTGTTGATACTTGGCCTATTCTCAAGCAACGTATTGTGTGGGACATCCGGGGCGGTTGCAATGTCCATTTTTGGACTGACTCGTGGCTGGCCGAGGGAATTGTCCTGAGAGATCAGATTATCGACGATGGAGAGGGGATCAATTGGCACGCCACAGTGGCCGATATGGCCACGGCCGAAGGTGAGTGGAAGTGGCATGAGATTGTGCAACATCTAACTCCAAACATGGTTGCTTTGATTGCAGGTACGGACCCGCCGAAGGAGGGACTGGGAGAAGACATCACGGCCTGGGGCATGGAGCAGGATGGAAAGTTTAAACTCCGATCTGCCTACTTGGCGGCTGTGGAGTGGTTGAGCGATGATGAGCCGGCTTTGGAGGAGGCAGCTGCCCAACCCCACTGGAAACAACTATGGAAATGGACCGGACCCAATAGGATTAAACATTTCTTGTGGTTGGTTTTCCATGACAGGTTAATGACAAATGCGGAGCGGAAGAGGAGAAAACTCACCACGATTGACACCTGCCCAACCTGCAGATCCGAGACAGAAACAACGGAACATATCCTGCGACACTGTCCTAGCTCGCAACAGGTATGGCGAAACCTGGGAATCCAAGATGATTTGCTAACGTGCGGCCTTGGATTTGCAGCATGGCTAGACAACCATCTCAGGAAGGATCAGGAGGGTCTTCTGTTCGGAGTAGCAGCTTGGTATCTCTGGAAAAGACGAAACGAGAAGGTGTTTCACAATCTGACCCAGGAAGATCACGTGCTGGCGCATCGGATCCGTTGCTGGACGACGACCATTAGACAAGCTCAAGCAGATGACACAGCGACCAGAGAAACAGCCCCGAGTAAGACAGCTCATCAGTGTGCTTGGATTCCGCCACCTCAGGACTGGGTATGTGTGAATACCGACGGCTCAGTGAAACAGCCAGGATCAACGGCTGCTGGTGGCGGATTAATTCGTGATTGGGCTGGGAAATGCATGGGAGCGTTCGTTGAGAATCTCGGAGTGTGCACAATTACTCGTGCAGAAATTATGGCAGCCATCCGAGGTCTTCAGCTGGCGTGGAGGAATGGTTATAGGAAGGTTCTGCTACAAATGGATTCCACCACAGCCATTAATATCCTCACTGCTAGTGAACATATGGAGCAAAGGTATTTTATCCTGGTTCAACAGTTCCAGGAACTACTCAACAAAAGCTGGGAAGTGAAGATTTCCCACATTTACAGGGAAGGGAACAAAGTGGCGGATTTTCTGGCCAACAAGGGTCATTCTAGTAGCATTGGTTATCATGATTTTGATGTCTCCGACGCTGGTTTATCATTTTGGATCTTGTATGATTGTTTGGGTATTTCCCAAACCCGCTTAATTTAAGTATCAGGCAGGGGCGCCCTTTTAGCGTCCCACTTTCTTACCAAAAAAAAAATAAACAAAAGAGGAGGAAGCAAGCATTACAAGAGTTAACAAACACCTTTTATTGGCTTTGATCGTGCCAAATCCTCGCCGCAAAAGGGTTGAGAGTTTAGAGCCCGATGTGACCATGTGTGAGCTAGTGGAATAGTTGTGGGGCATTTGTTTACCCATAAAATAATCAGCTTGCACCACATTGATTAACTACAAGAGATTTAATGGATTTATAAGGTCAGCTCAACATTAATAATTAAAAGAGCTAGCTGGGCCTTGTTGGGTTGGGTTTTTGGGCCTAAGTGGCCAAGCTCTTCTCCATACATGATGGTCGACCCGTCTCCTTGGCCCCTATAGCCGGACGATGCCTCCACCCCTTGGTGTGACCCTTGGTGTGAAATTTGGCTCCCAAAAACTAAGTCTGGAAACAAGGCGGCACAACGGGGTGCCAAACGAATGGGTACCAAATAGGAGGCCATCCAAAAACTAAGTCTGGAAACAAGGCGACACAACGAGGTGCCAAACGACCGAGTACCAGCTAAGGGGGTCAACGACGGGGTATCAAGCCGACAAAGCAGGGCTTGATACTTTGACTAAGAAATTTGGCTAAGTATGGAGCAAAGAGGTATCAAGTCGACAAGGCAGGTTTGATACCAAAATACACAAAAACTTGCTAAGTATAGAGCCACCAAGCCGAGAAGGCAAGTATGGAAAACAAGGCGGCACAACGGGGTGCCAAACGACCGGGTACCAAGTAAGAGGGTCAACGACGGGGTACCAAGCCGGCAAGGCAGGCCTGGTGTCGAGACAAAATCGGCTAAGTATGGGGTAAGAGGGTACCATGCCAGCAAGGCGGGCTTGGTACCAAGAAATGGAATTTGGCTAAGTATGGAGCCAAAGGGGTATCAAACCGACAAGGCAGGCTTGACACCAAAAGACATAGAAAATTGGCTAAGTATGGAGCCAACACGGTACCAAGCCGACAAGGCAGAGCTTGGTACCATGACATGGAATTTGGCTAAGTATGGAGCTAAAGGGGTATCAAGCCGACAAGATACCAAAAGACATGAAAATTGGCTAAGTATGGAATCCCATGGCTAAGGGGCAAGGTTTGGTACCAAGACATGAAAAGCATGAATTTGGCTAAGTATGGAGCTAAGGGGGTACCATGTCGGCAAGGCAGCCTCGGTACCAAGACCCCTACAAAGTATCAAGCCGGCAAGACAGGCTTGGCAGCCAAGCAAGGCGATAGGGTACCATTGCTCCAAGGGGGTATCAAGCCGACAAGACTGACTTGATAGCCAGGCAACAGGGGGCCAAGCAAGACGGACTTGATAGCCAGACATCGGGTATCAAGCCAACAATTGTATCAAACAGAGCCCCTTGGGGGCCATATGGAGACTAAGTCCCAAGATGGGCATGATGGCCCCCTAACGGGGTACCAAGCTGGCCGAGTGCAAGATACCAAGATGACAAGTTAGTGCCATGACAGTCACTCTAAGACTAAGTGTGGAGACCTGGGGATAAAGGGTCCAAATTCTCGTCTTGCCTAGGTGGGTAATATGGCCTAGCTATCAAGACGGTTCATCGAGGTGGCTAGCAAGACGAGGAGCATGGAGTCGTCAGGGCTGTCGAGGATGTGATCAAGACTTCATCATGGAGGCTAAGGCAAAGAGGCTCAACACCAACCCGGCCCGGCATCGAGACCATCAAGTACTCACCAGCCCAAGGAGGGACAAGGGCCTCCGAGGCGACGGTTACCAACTAGTCGCCAAGGTGGGACAAGGGACCCTAAGGCGGGCGGTTACCAAGGCTGTTACACCCGGTGGCTATAAATAGGAGAAACGAAGACGAGAAAAGGGTTCCACAACCAACCATTTAACACACTATGTCAAACTTTATCTTTTTCTCTGCAAATTAGCCATAGCCGTAGTTTTCGGAGCTCTCACTGAACCTCCATAGGAGTAGAGTAACGTAACTTAACTTGTTCCCAAAAAATCATCAAAAACATCAAATACTCTCGTTCGAACATTGTTCGGAGAGGAGTAAACCGTGTTATTGTCGTTGTTCAAGAAGTCAAAAGTGCATATATTGAGTTCAAACACCAGAGATTTTTCTCGCCAGAAAACAGGAGGGAAGGTTAGACTACCTGAGCGTGGATTAACCCTGGGGAAAGTGACGTCTTTGAAAGCTCTCGCCGTAAACCGTACTCGTCTGTTAGAAGATAGTAGAGTAAAGGGTCTAGGGCTAAGAGTCTTATAGGGAAGACGTGACTCATGGGCAGGGTAATCCGACTCAGCACCGATTAGGTTTTTGAGAGATAATCGAGGGGAAGGACTCTTCATTTTCTTAAAAGGGATAATATTCAAATTTAAAATCCCATTATTCGCGGGGATCGTAACAGGAGGGAATCTTATCCCAACAACCTCACAACGAGCAGGAGATCGGATCCGCTGCTCCTCGACGGTGCCTTTCCGGTCACCGGGAAGGGGATCCCGAACCAACTGACTGGGGAAACGCCCTAGAAAGGGCACATCAATATCACTTCCCATCGAGTTAGCAGGGGCGACATCCCGAGCCGCCATGTTAATGGCTACCAACAGAGAAGTATTATTGTCCCGCCCATCCACTTCCAATTTGTCTGGTGAAAGAATTTTGAATCGCCAGCCTACTCTTTCGGACATTCGCCTTCGTTTTGATAAATCGAGAACAAGTATATCGTTCTCTGCCAGGACAAGCCCGAGCTTCCGTTTTCCATTCCTTCTTTTGGAACAGCAATCCGCCATGGCATACAAGGCCGCGCAAATGGCGACAAGATGAAAGTATCGAGGAATCAACAGCCTCGCTATCTAAACCTTCAACCAGGGAGAGGGGACGAAACATGGTACTGGTCCTCCATCCCTGAGCCTTGCATTGATTTGTTAAGCACCGAGTGATGATCGCCGTCAGCATTGTAACCAGCAAACTCCCAATAGTGCGCCCTGGGCGCCGGAGAGAGGGGAGCTAATTAAATCTGGGTTGTCTCTACGAAAAAGAAAGCTAAACTAACCTTGTATCTTCTTCTCTCGTATAAAGATCATGCTCCCACTCAAAAGGAAAAGATCATGCTCCCACTCAAAAGGAAAAAACTTTTTTATGGTTGGCAAAAGTCTAACTCCATAAGTGAATTGTTAATGTTTTTGAGAATGACCCATAAATATTTAACTTGGATAAGTAGGTTGGATAGGAATTTTATCGCTCCATCATGCAAACCCTTTCATTTATTTAATTCTGCTTGCCTCCATAAGTTCAAATCTTGTAATCAATAATCATTCTCAACATATCCATCATATTCCAAAAATTTATCAAAATAAAAATCACTAACATAGTCACTTCCTTTCATCCATTATGCATGCTCGAATCCTTATCCCGTAAAAATGAAACGAGAATTACTATGAAATCGAAAATCAACATTTACCTAATCAGAAATACGGATAATATCATAAATTCAGATACTCTTCATATCATCAACATTAATCAAAATATCTAATCATCATCGTCAAATGGATCATCATGTCGTCTAATATCAACTTGTCAATTCCAAAACACGTAATTACGTCAATGGGAACACATCAACTTGTGAACGTCAAAACACCAAAGGAAACAAGGATGACAGCACATTCAGGGACATAGACGTAAGAAGAGGGGGAGATTTTTGGGAGATGAGAAGAACAAGTTTGTCATTGTTCAATTGAGCCTCCCTCGACCTCCTTTCCTCTTCCACCTAGGGATATTATGTCCAGCATCTCCTCTATCTGAGCTATTTCCTCCTCCCTTGAACTCCCAGCCCCTACATCAAAACTTGGGTCAGAAAACAAAAATAGAAAGGACAGAGGAAGAGGGCATGAAACAAGCAAGCAATCAATCATAGGGGTTAAACTTTCTATTGACTTGTTGCCACCACATGTGTAAGGTCGAAAACTGGTTTTCTTATCTTGACAGTAGATTCACTTGTACTGTCAATTTGGGACACGGAATTAAACTTCAAGTGTTGGGAAAAAGGGTCTATAAGGATAAAAGCAGAAGGAAAAAATTTGGTGATTTGTAAGGTGTTATATATTCCAGAGTTAGAAAACAATCTACTCAGTATGGGGCAACTGCAAGAGAAGGGTTTGACTATTCTGATATGTGAGGGGAGCTGCAGGATTCTTCATAATAATGATAAGAGTTTGTTGTTTCAAACAAGCATGTACACAAACAGGTTGTTTACTCTTCATGATGAGTATGCTGCTGTGCCATTAGTTCAATACTTGTATTGCCTGCACCTGATTGAAGCTGAAGAAGAACAAGAAAAACAAGAAAAGAGAGAAGAAGAAGCGATGATGCCAGCACCCTATTTAAAACCTACAGTAGAAATTGATGCTGTCATACAAGTAGCTACAATACAGTCACAAATAAAAGAGGAGTTAGTAAACAGTGATGTACCTCGGGCTTCTTTCGCCTAAATTTAGATCTATATCTCCAGGGGAAGTTGTAGAAAATGAGTGGAGAAATGCGATGAAGCTGGAGAAGTTGCGGGCAACAAAGAATCACAAATGGCAGCTCAAAGATCAGCGTACTAAAGTGAAGGAAATTGGAGAAGAGTGGGAGTTAAGTGAGGATGTGAAAGACGAGCAATCCTTTGGATTTGTGTTTGAAGGGCTGGAAGACAAAATTGATAAATTGAATAAAGTGTTACAACAAAACTGAAAGGGATTTGGTGCTGTATGCAAGGAGTTTTGAGAAATAGGCTGAGGAGCTCAAAGTGTCAAGGTATATGTTGTGGTTGAGATTCCAAGTTGACAAGCTGGTTCTATACGAAAGCACTTCTGACCACATTCCTTAACATTTACTCCGTTCCTGAATTCCAACTTATCTTTTGATAAAAAGAAGCAACGGAGAGAGCATAAACATACATACTGAATATTATACTTCTCTGCTTTAAGGGTTCAGGTGTATCCAGGGATGAAGGCACAATGGAAATGAGGTATTAATTGCTGAATCAGGCTTGGGTTTAAGTAGCAGTGAACATCTGGATTGAACCAGTCTTGCTCGTAGCATGACAGAGTGCAGAATCTTCATTTTAATTTTCATTTTTTCCCCCGCAATTCCCTCCCAAAGTGAAAATCAGTTCCAGTGAAGTGTGCATTGATCAAATAGCTGCCAGTTAAGTGGAATGGAAAACACTACCCCGTTACCTATTTCCTGATACTGGTCAGCTCAGCCACAGTTTAAACAGAAAGTTAAGGCGACAATAGCTAAGAAGATATACATTCTTGGAGCAGAACTGCTTCAAGGCAATCAAGGTTTGAAGATTATGAGCCTTAGAACGTTTTTGATTTAGCAAGAAGAGGAGTCTGAAGTTGCAGATAATCAAAAGTCTGCAGAGGCATTGGAGTTGCAACCACAAGGCTTTGTCGTCGCAGGGGAGGAAAAGAAGCATGCAAAGAAGTTTTCTGGGTGGTTTCAAGTCATTTGCAGCAAGCTTGGTAGGAATTTCATAGCTTCTGGAGGAGAGGTTGCATCAGCAGAAGAAGGGGTCCAAGTAACTGCAACTGAATATAAAGAATGGACTGGATGTCGGTGGTACCAGCTTGTTGGAACTAATCTTATGAGTGAGAAAGCAATATGTGGGCCGAAGATAGAGGATGCTATACTCTCACTTAGCTCATATGTAAATGGCGTGGTGCACTTTAGTTCCAGAAAACTGATTGAAGGTTTCCCAAATATGATGGAAGCTGCGTTTGAGATGGTTAATCTAGCTAACATGAGATATCTGAACTGTGTGGATGTGCACCATGAGAATCAAGAGGTACTTATTTCCAGCAGAAGTGCACGAGCTGTTTGACACGTGTCAATTGATAGAAAGTAACTCTATGAGTGAAAGGAGTATGTTAGGAGCCAAGTCTAAACCAAAAAGAGATGAATTCCTTGAACCAATTCAGTACAAGCAGCTGGTAGGGACTTTGTTTTATCTTGCTAGCACAAGACCAGATGTGGTGGTCTCTATATGTTTGCTAAGTAGATATGTAGAAAACACTACAAGTCAATACTGGCAAGCTGTGCAAGAAGTACTAGAAAACACTAAAATTCACGGTCTTCAATTTTCTTTGGGAGCTTGGTTAAGGAAAAGGCTGTGTTGCATGAGTACTGTGGACATCAATATCTGGTGGCTAGTGTTGTGACTAAAGAATGAAAAATGGAGTGAAAACTTTAAGGGTACTGTTTCAACTAGGACTATGTAGTTTTCTAGAGTCCAGAGTCTTTGTTGTTAGGTTCAGTGGGTAACAAGTCAAACTAGATTAGCATAGTTAAAGGGCCAGGGTAGTTAGAAGCAATACCAGGGAATCAAGAGAGGGGTTAGTGGGGTAACAATTGAGGCCGAATGAGCAGGAGTGTACCGAGTATATATATGCTATTTTTCTTAACGAAATAAACGGTCAGTTTGCAGATCGGCTTCTACATGACACACTCACTCAAGAATGAAAATAGAGTTGCCAGTCAACAAAATGGAAGAGGATAAGATTAGAGGAGTACCTGATCTACAAAAGAAGAAGATTCACGAGCTGATCGGCACCAACTCTGATATAATCTAAGCTCTGAAAATCCACAGGTAGGCGATTCTCGATAGCATTCCAGAGCAGATGCCTCACCCTTTCACTGTCCTCATGGAACTCAAAAGGAAAGCCCAGCTGATGGTCGACAATATCCTTCAGCTGATGCTCGAACATTACTCTTGAGATTAACCTCGGCTCCGAGGGAAAATGACGTCTTATCTGGTCACGTAATTCATTCATAGTTCTTCTTGGGGCTAGCTCAGGGAAATAACTGAACAAATCCAACTCGAAACCATGTGATGTTAGATGCTGCAGTCTCTGGACATTTGCAAGCACCGATCTAATTTCAGTGGCCGAATGGAGCGTAGTTTGGCAGAACTCTGAGTATTTCGGATACTCAACTATGTCCCCAGCGGCCAGTCGATCAATTCCCTCGGCCAATTGGCGGAAAGCCATAGTCGAATCGATTAGATTCTCCAAACATCCAAAACCCGTCTTGGTGTGCCTCTCTGCGTTCCTCAGAATCTCACCAGAACCGTTCATAATCAGACGTACAAGTTCTTGGATTTTCTTGCAATGCTCCCTGGCTGGAGTGCCCACAGTATTCACTCCCAAACCTTTAAATAGCTTCCGAAAGCCCCTTCCTATCTCAAGTGCCAAAGTCATCATTGTGTCGCTACACGACCTTATCTCTCTATAAGCACTCTCGTGGCACCTCCTAATTGCGTTACTGACCTCGTCCGCGCATGAAAAATTCATGGCTTTGCTGTTTCTAACCCCGTTCACTTGATGGACGGCCGGCGCAACACAATCAATATAAACCGACCTGCCAGTAAACAATAGAACACAAAACTTGAGAAATAATCGCACAAGAAAAGCGCGAGAGGCGAGAGCGAGAGGCGGATCGACAACTAACCTTGGGTGATCGATTCTGCGATTTTTGCGTTTAGGGTTCCAGAGCGGTTACTGGGTCGGTAGGAGAATCTGGATTTTGAGTATTTAGAAGTAGAACCGCCGAGTCTGGAGAAGGGAAAAAAAAGATTATTATCAGTTTCTTTGTTCCGCTCGGTTCGATAAAAGGCCTGCTCTGCTGGTATTGGACACGTAATTGGGTTATAAGCCCATCTGGTTAACCACTGGTTTTTTTTTTTTTTTTATGAAAGCCTGGTAGTGTTAAGTGTTAACTAGGGGGTGGGCAAGGGGAGGGTTGGGTGGATTTTCGTCTCAAATTGACCCATCCGGTTACTAGCGAGTTGGAATAATTGTGACCCGCAACCCACCCACATTCTTCTGCGGGTCGGGTTGGGTGGATGGCGGATGGGTGCGGTTGGATCGTGGGTTAACCCGCAAAAGCAATTCTCCAACAAGCCATTAAGAAAGTTGACTAACATTTATAATAAGCTCATAGCAAATTAGGAAGATTGTATCAATTTAGACACTTTTCACTTTGTCTCTAGTGAATCCATGTATAATTTGTATAATACAATTTACTACTCTATCATCCAATGGTGTAGAGAAACTTACGCATTTTATTTATTCTGATACAATTAATAATTTATAGTTTTCATCCTAGTATTTTATGGATATTAACAATAATTCACATTCCAATATCAAATATTTAATGGATATTACACAACACAATATCCAATAATAATAGTCAAAACTATTTTTTCTCCACCTTTAGAAGTATATGGTGAGACTACAGTGTGGTTCGGAAATAAGATGAATATTCGATACTATAAGAAACAATATTTTTTCATGCGAAAATAGGATGTGGGTCATTCGAGTGACCCGCAATCCACCCACCACCCACCCACATAAGTGCGGGTGGGGGATTTATCAATCCGCAATCCACCCACATCAACCACCCACTACTTGCGAGTCGGGTTATTTGCGGGTGGATCGATATCAATCCGCGGATTAACCACCCACGTGCCCACCCCTAGTGTTAACCACTGGTTGAAATAAAAGAGTGTGGATCAACGGGTGGCTTTTGGCCATGAGGATGTTGATATAGGTGAGTGTGATTGGAAGACACTTCTCCCATATTGTATTAGATTGCGAATCTTAAATCAAAATAGCGCGATTTTCGTTCTTTGTTTCGTCGATAGCGTTCAACTTTTGGTTCGTTGGTCGTAATTGTAGAAACAAGACAACTCATTTGGTGGCTCGTCATGCTCTGTTTTTGTCATCTCGTCTGTTGGTGTAGTTTAACTTCGTTTCTTGGTTTAGTAGTAGATAGAGGTTCGTACGTAACTTGATCTATACCTTGTTTGTTTACTCTTATTAAGAGTGGTCGAACGACGAAGAAGAAGAAAACTAGTTAAAAATGATTTTGTTTTTTGCATACATAGGAACCAAGTCAATCAATCTATAGCTCTGTTAGATGATTTCAAAAGATTTTTTTTCCTGGACCATAGTAGAACTACATACATTACCACCTCTTTAGGGCAAATTAATCCTAATTAGAGACGGGCAATGGATGGGTTGAACTGTTTTTGGGCTAAAATTCACCCATTCATAAGTTTAGTGAATGGCGAAAAAATGACCCACAATCCATCCACCCATTTGTACATTAAGGGTGGATTGGGTGGGTGATGGCGGATGGTATGTGGGTTTTTTTTATTTGCTAGATCAAATAAAAATTACAAATATTAAGATAATTATGAGCCATACAAACTTACAACAAGAGGAAGGGTTTGTATTAATAGTGGATTCTGAGGGGATGGCAGATGGTGGGTGAGTTTTGTTGGATCAAATAAAAATTACAAATAATAAAATAATTACGAGCGATAAAAAAAACTTACAATGAGAACTCCAAAGGGTTGGTCTAGTGGTAAAGTTGGAGGATAAACTTACAACCAATGGTATGGCCGAATTTGATGAGTTTTATATACTTCATAGATTATTTTATGAAACTGATCATGTTTAGTGATGGCAATTTGAACCTGCCCCGCGGGTATTACCCGACACGCAGTAGTATGGGGCGGGGCATGAGTATCTACTTTCGACCAGTCCTGCCCCGCCCCATCCCGTTCTTGATCTATTTTATCTCAATTTCTTACGGTGTCTATACATATTTATCATATTTTGACTTTTCTTCCACTAGTTAGAGTTAATTTTTCAACTTGTTAGACTCAATTACCAATTCAATTGTCACTATTTTCATTGATAAAGTGTTTTCCTTTCGTTTTATCATAAAAAAATAAAATTTGAGTGTATTTTTTCCAAATTACATATAAGAGTGAGTCGAATCCAACAGGTTAGCATTTACTGCATCAGTCTCAACCTCATGTACTTTCATGGTTTGGTGCACTAATTCTATGACAGTCATTTGGTTAATAGTATTTTCATTATTTTTAGTGAAGGTGGTAATGTTATTGAAGAAACAAATGAATCCAACAGGTACATCTGCAATGTAGGTGCAACAGAAGAAAGAAAGAATAGAGGAGGATGGAAAGTAGGCAAAGAGAAATCGACAACAAGTTGGGAAAAATACCACTCCAACCTCTACACAACGAATATGTGTATGAGACTGACTGCATATCCGTTCAGATGGTGATGACACCACTGAGATCAAGATCCAATGACCAGAAACTCATATTCATAATGAATATGCATTCGATGAATATAATTTCTGGCCGATGCATCTTTATCTCAACAGTGTTAGCATGATCTAACATTGTTCACAGTCAGTCTCATAACCAAGCTCCTACCAAACTCAACTAAAAGCAACAAAACCAGTTAGAGAGACAACAACTGGAGGCATCAAAAGTGACCACCTAGTTGGTAATGATCAATGAGTTAAATGATTTATGAGAAACTCGAAAAACGACAGTCTTTTTTATTTTTATAAACCATTTGGATTTTAATTAATTGGTACCTTTTTCAATACAATCTGCTAGTAATTTTGGTAATAAAGATTGATGGTTGTGACCTCCATCTCTTTCCATCTATAGGAATGGCAACGGGTAATGTTAGGGGAGGGTAGTGTTAAATCTGTACCCTGCCCCGCGTCCCATGATGGATCGACAATATTTGCTCAAAACATTGCCTCGCAGGCCCCGGGGGGGGGGGGGGGGGGGGTACAATCCGGGTTGCCCTGTACTTCTCTAAAGTGACAAACTTTAAATCCAAAATACCAACCAAGTGGTGTAAAATATGCGGAAACGAGAAACGTGGTTTCCACGAAGATCGGGACTAGCCCACGGAGAGCTAGCACTCTTAGCTTAGGGTTTCACTATATGCAGCAATGGAGTGTTGAACGTATTTCGTGTGTTACAGGAGGAGGCTGCGGCTAGCTGCTTTATATACCAATCAACTATTCAGCTAGGTATATACTCAGTCCAATACGCCTCCTCAACCTAAAGCATAAAGATCTGAAATGCCAAACTTGAACAAAAGAGTATGAAATTGATATGCACCTTATGCTTTGGTGAAAATGTCAGCGAGCTGTTGTGAGGTGTCGACCTTCTGTGGAAGTATCTCACCATAGCTAACACGCTCTCCCACAAAATAGCAATCCATCTCCACATGCTTAGTGCGCTCGTGAAAAACAAGATTCGCCGAAATGTGAATGGCGGCCTGGTTATCACAGTAGAGAGGCGTGGAAATTGATTGAGGAACATGCAGCTTGCAAAGCAGAAAACGAAGCCAAATGACTTCGCTGGCTGCACTAGCCATAACACGATACTCTGCATCTACAGACGAATGAGACACACCCCGTTGTTTGTTTTGTAGGTGCTTTCAACAACAACTGATAGGAAGTATTTGAGGACTTTGACACAACTTTTTTACTTGTGTGAAAATTCTTTTGCTTTTCGGTCTATGTGCTTATCATTTTTTTAGGTGAAGATGCTGAAAGGGTGCTTTTCAGACTCTGTGTTTGTTCATTTTGCAAAAGAAACTGCTCATAGGGAGTATTAGTCTTCCTATTATATATATAATGGTTTGCTTCTCTGCTTCAATTTTCAATATGGTTAGTTCATGATTTAGAACCTTTTAAGGGAAGAAATCATGATATTGCCCATGTCGTTAAGGTATCAAAGGGTTGCTCATATCGTGGCCAATCGAAATCCCAATCAAAGACAAGTTCTACCAAGGCCAGGATCTCAAAGAGAAGAAGAACTTTCCGGAATTCCTAGTGACATTCTTCCTTCAGAAGCTAAAGTTGAATGATCGAAGTCTCCTTCAGGTGGAGAGAGAGAAACGAGTCTCCTTCAATAAAAATAAATTTGTTAAAAAAATTTCTCTTTGTTTCAACATCTGTTGACCAACACGCATTATCTTTTTAATTTGGCCGGTTTCGGTCATGTACGTATTCGTATCTGACTTATTCCGACCCGGAATATCTATGGAAAAAAATAGAGAAATAAAAAAGGCAGCGTTCTAACTCTAACAACCAAGAGACTAAGGAAAGGGCTGGGAGTAGGAGGAATGCATGGATCTCGTCGGGGTTTTGGGCCACAAATGGGTTTTAGCCTCTCTCGATTGACCAGTTGCTGCAATTTACCCCAGACATAAAATAGAGTTGAAGAACCTACTTTTAGTATGAAAAAATTGCATAATCATCCCTGAAATTCTCCTAATACAGATAAAGAGGTTCTAATTCTAGTAGGGATGACAACCAAATTCAAACCCATGATCGCGGGTACCCGACCGCCCACAAGCCAGTCAATGCGGGGAATCCCCGCATTGACTGGGTATGGGACGGGTATGGTTTTAGCATCCTCGTCTCATACCCATACACATCCCCTCCCCACCAATGATATTTCTTCACATATAAAAAATATATGAATCAATATTTAGTATAAATGTAATTGAGTGGCCACCCAAATCCAAATATAATTTCTTCACATCAATTCTCCCTTCATTCTTTCACTTTTTCCTCTTGTTAAGATGATAATTATGTTAGTTAAGTATTACTTAGTAGATGTATTAGAGTTGGAAACTAATTATTTGGAAAATATCATACTCTATCTTATTCATTAATAAATATTTTAGAATCGTAAGATTTGAACCGTATTAAAAATGATTGTATCTTTGTTGACTTAATGATATAATAGGTCTGTTTAGCGGTATAATTGAAATTTTACATGTAAAGTCTTAGGTATAATGATGTTGAATATACAGGGCGAGTATTATCTTTGTTGACTTAATGATATAGTAGGTCTGTTTAGCATTATAATTGAAAATTTACATGTAAAGTCTTAGGTATAATTATGTTGGATATACGGGGCGGGTATTACTCATGGGTATCCTAAACCCACGGGTATGTGGATGGGTTTGCAAAACCTTACCCCGCATGGGTATGGGACGGGTACATGTTTGAATATTTGAAAGCGGGGATGGGGATGGTTTAGACAAACCCACCTCATTGTCATCCTATCTTCTACAGAAGGTTGGGGAAACAGGAGGGATGTTGCGAAATTTCATGGAACTATATATAACTATGGAGATTACAGTGAAATACAGAACAAATATCCTGGCATTCTACAGACATAGAGATTGAATTCATCACTGGATTCTCTTGTTACTACCACCCAAGTTTCCTTCAGAGTCGAGATAACTGTCATTTCCTGAAGCTCCTCCCTTATCTCCATCCATTGAGAACTACAAGTTCAAGGAAATGCCAGTGTATATCCCTCAATGAATCACTAGGCGAATCTAGGTCGGATGCATCACCTCCATCGTTGGTTTGCTGCCACTATGGGTGCATTGGCTTGCTAGCAACTATATTGGACAAGTAGGTTTTACCAATTTTGTCAGAACCAAACCGTAGTATGAACCTATATAGCAAACGGTTGGAACTTTACTGGTTTAACCGGTATTAGACCGTTATAAAACCGTTAATGAACCGATACTTATTAATAATGAATATTAGTAAGCACTAGCTAAAAATGACCATAATAGGAAATAAAAACTAAAAAAATTATAATCATGACCTAAACTACCTAGAAGTAAATGACGTGTATAAAAAAGTAAAAAAGCTAACAACTCAATTAATCACCCCTAACCTGGCCTGACCACCACCACCCCGATTTGCAACCCTAATCGGCAGCGCCGTTCTCCCCTCTCTCTTTCAATCCCCCCTCCACAACAACCTTCATCTCACCATCTGCTTCTTCTTCAATCGATTCCTCTAATCCTTCACAAAACACGATCGATCGATCCCCTCCATGGCTTCATCCCTTGGTTTCTCTCAAACTCCATATGCCTTTATCTCTCTCTTTCTTTCTTTCTGAAGACGACTAGAGGAAAGCATAACAGGAACAGAGCGACGGTGATGAAGGTGAGGTTAATCGTTGCCGGTGATGACGACGGCGACCAAGGACAACCGCTCAATTGAGAAAGCCCGCCTACCCTTCGCTCTGAGAACCGACTAGTCGGTTTGAACTGTTCGAGCGGTTAGCCGTTTGAACCGTTAATCGGCCGGTCAGTTGAACTGTATTGTTTTTTAGGTGTTCCGAGCTGGACTGGTGGCCGGGTCCCGGCTTTATCGGTCCGACTGACCGGTTCGGCTCGATTTTGATAACACTGGGTTTTACATTGCTCTGGCCATTAAAAGAGGTGTATGTTCTTCAAACCATTTTGCCGGCATTTTGCCCAAAGCTGCTTGTTAGCCACTAGCTTCAGAAGCGCAGTAGCAATGGATTGTTGATCATGTGGGCCAATAAGAAGCCCATTATCGAGTACCTAAGGAAATATATACTCAATTAAGTACACAGAGATGTACCAAAAAAAAAAAAAAAATTAAGTACACAGAGATTATCTAAAAAAAAAAAAAAATACTCCACTATATGCTAATGCCTGAGAATATGGATACATAAACAAATGGAAGTTAAAGTGTGATCTGCCATACCCGGAGAATGTCCACAGGGCCCCCATTCTTTGTAGCAACCATCGGCAAGCCGTATGCTGCTGCCTGCCACCGGAAAGGAAAAACAAAGAGTTTATAACAGTCTTAACCAGTGAGCAGGTCACATGCGGTTACAATCCTTAGGGGTTTAGGATCATCACCTCAATTAGAGTTAGTCCAAATGGCTCGATGAAAGCTGAATTACTGAAAACGCCCTGCATATATATTCAAATATGAATGAGTAATCAGGTATATACCATCTCCAACACCATGGTACAGTCAATAGGGTCTGATGATAAACTTAGTGATGTAAAAACAAAACTTTGTGCCATGTCCATAATGCAGGTATATGACATAAAAGTTCCCACTAATGCACACTAGATTCATAAAAGTAGGAGATGATCAATCAAATCCAACTCATGAAAATTCAATGGGTATGAAGGCTCAGCAAAGGAGATTATCTTTCCAATTTTCACTAACATGGATCTGACTATTCAATCACCTGAGTATAACACATGGTATACACAAAATAACATACCTTAGTCTTTGCAGCAAGGCAATATATGTCTGGAACATAAGCCTGTTTATGATGTTTAAGATACGCCACTTGCCCATACAATCATATTTTTCAAAGAGCTTAAGCACTGAAAGGAGTACAGAGGCATTTGTACTTGGCATCTCATCGATTTCATCTCTGTTCCCCATAATTAGTGTCTAAAGTTCATATGAGAGAAAAGAAAAAAGAAAAAAAGAGGAATGCACGGTAAGACACTCGAAAGTGAATCAAATGCCAGATAAAAATACATCTCTACCAACTGTATGACACTTACATACCATATTAGCAAGCTCTCTCAGGGGATGTCATTCTCCATATGCCTTGACCTAAGTGTGATCTTTTTCTTGGGGTCTGCCCTAGCAAGTGCAAGTATCATTGGTTTGCGGGGATTAGTGAAGAAACACATTATCTGCACAAAGTAGAGAACATGCATCAAGTTCGGAACCACTTGTAGGATAGAAAAATAATGGCTTGCTGAGCAGAGAATTCAAAGCAAGTCAAAAGGCCCTTATGTCTGAATGCTTAAAGATGATGAGAGAGGAGTTAGGACAAGAAAGAACCTCGGGCCATATTGATGGTTTAGGAGAAGTTGGATGGTCATCATTTCCTTCATTTTCACCCTCGATATCACCATCATGGTAGGACAATGTGGTGGAACTCCATTCCAGGTGGGATTACCTGCACAGAAATGAAGATTGTTCAGTAGCTCAAACTTTGGACATGTAAATAGAACAGGAACCATGAGCATCTCACTTTCAGCTACGATCTCCAGCATTATGATAGTGAAAAGCGTAAAACTCCCATCTAGCTGGCAGAATCATTGGATCCACTTCGAAAAAAATTGTTACGAAAACAATGCATATAGATACCGATCCAAATTTCAAACCATTTCTCCTTTGGGAAAGTAATATGACGGGCAGCTGAAGATTGAATAACTAGACAACTATTAACCATGATAGGGAATTTAGAATGACAATAGCATTACCACAGTAAAAACTTCATCTACCCCCAGTCTGTCAGTCGCTCTGAATTCATACATTACTTAGCCAGGTCACAAGAAATTAGATTCTACCTTAGAGCTAATAAGACTTAGCCGAATTCATTTAAACACACAGTATACCATATGCCTAACCCATATAAACAAAGACAATATCAGTGTCCTGCATAACAATTAAGTACAAGTAATATGCCCTTTGTTTAGGACAGCAGCCTCAACCAAGAAACTTTCAGTGCTTATTATGCTATGAACTTCCATATTCAACAACAAGTTTCAATACTTACCGCCATTCGAGGCATAATCCTTCCATAACATTTGACATTGACCCTGATTCCTGCCCGCAGTTTGTGCTCCAATACCAGTTCAAAACCATCATACAACCTCCACTGTTGCTCTATCTCTTGTCTAGTGCTTGTTATGACAATTTCAGATGCTTCTCAACCCTCAATCAGACTTCACCGCCCCACCTCGTCCTTCCAATCTCGACCTCGCCATCCCAATCTCCCGAATCCCAACCTCGACGCCCCAACCAGACACGCACCACCACCAAATAATCTTTCACTCTAATCGCCCGGCCGGAGTTGTCGCTTCCGCCGATAAGAAAGCAGCGACGGTCGAGATCCATCGAACAAAGGAAAAGAAGGAGAAGAGGGTCGCTGCCAGTGAAGATAGACAGTTGGTTGCCGCCCCTTCCTTCTTTAGGTTTGGAGTTTGACGAGAATTGGAAATATTCAAAGGGTTAAAGCGGCCTCGGTTGCCGCCCCCGCTTGGCATTCCAGATCCACCTGACTCGAGACTCTGGCAGCTCTTTCTCTTCCTCCTCTGTCTCCGACTCAAGAGTTGCCGCTCACATGCCCTTCTTCCCCTTCCTCGATCGCCATCACCCTGCATGTAGATGGTCAGAGAGAGAGAGAGAGAGAGAGAGAGAGAGAGAGAGAGAGAGAGAGAGAGAGAGACCCTGCTTCTCCTTCTTCCTTCCTCTCCGACCAGCCTTCTTCTTCTTCCCCTGCCAACCTTGTTCCCTCTTTTCCTCGAAGTTCAAATCGATTTCCCTGAGCTGCTGAGCATTATCCCATGGAAGCACCTCATTATAAATTTTTTTTTTTTGGTAGAATATAATTTCTTAATTATAGTTGATGATATGAGTAGATGTGTGTGGACCTATTTAATGAAGTCTAAGGATGAATCTAGAACTCTATTACAGTCATTCTATGTTATGATGAAAACTCAATTTAATAAATAGATTAAGATCATTAGAACTAACCAAGGAATAGAGTCCCATATGGATGAGTTTTATAGATCTCATGAGATTGAACATCAAATGAGTGTGGCCTATATTCATAAGAAGAATGGAAGAGTAGAGAGGAAGCACCAGCATCTCATGAATGTGGCAAGGGCCTTTAAATTTCAGTCTGACCTTCCTCTCACATACCAGAGTGACTTTATACTTCATGTTGCATATCTCATCAACAGAATCCCTACACCCATTTTGAACAATCAGAGTCCATATGTAAGCTATATGGTGTTCCACCTGATTATAGTTCTTTGAAGCTCTTTCGATGTCTAGTTTATGCCTCCACAGCTGGTCCACTGATAACACCGTATTTGCACATGTTTGTTCCTTCATTTCTTGATCGTTTAGCTTAGTGATTGGTCATTCCTTGGCCTATTTTATGCTAGGTTGTGTTAATTTATCGTAGTTCAGGTCCTAGTACGTAAATATCGCCTTGGGACAAGTTTCGGGACATTTGGAGGTGAAAGAAGGTTGATCGCGAATACCGGGCAGCAAGGCTGCTGACAAACAAGCCCTCAAACACGGCCTCTGTTGTGAAAGACAAGGCCTTCTGCTAGAGACCGTGTTTTTTCCTCTGCATTTCACAGAATCGTCATTCCAAAACCCGACCTTTCCTAGTTAAAACACGACCGTGTTTTTGGGTCAGAGGCCGTGTTTTTGCACCTGTGCGGGTTTTATTGGAGATGAGCTCATATTTTGGGATACGATTTTTTAGAGCAAAAACAGAGTTTTAGAGAGAGAAAGTGCAAAGAACAAACCCTTGGAGTGGATTTCTCACCATTGAAGCCCAGATTGCATCCCCAGGAGTGAAGATTGACATCCCAGAGCAGATTCTTCCCATTGTTATGAGTATGACTGCTTTGTATTATGTTTTCCTCTCTCTCTCTCTCTCTCTCTCTCTCTCTCTCTCTCTCTCTCTATGGAGTAGAACTTTCTCTCACTTGGGTATGAAGAACCTTAGTTCCATGTGTTATGGATCTTGATTGTAATGACGTTTGGATTGATATACTGCTTGATTATAATCGATCGATGCATGTTTTATTGAGTTAATTGAAGCCTGATCAACTTTTCTTGATTTCTGCTACAACCTGAGATAGATAGAATCTGATTAGGTTGTTAGAGTTTCCTCAATCGGTAGTAGTGAATTGGTTATACTAGAGATAATCGATTCACTGCTTTGTACTGGAATCCAATTCCAGTACTGGAGTTCTGTGTTTATTGCCTAAGCGTTCTATCCCGGTGAAGACTAGTCGTCTGCCAGGTAGTCTGTCTGAGAGGGCATGGTCAGCTTAAGATATTCCAAGCTACTGTAGTATCTTCCGCTGTTTAATCAACAGTAAATCAACCAAAGGTAATTACAACTTTGACCTAACTAAGGAGCTAGGGGGACTCATTCCCAATTGACTATTTCCTTGCTTAAGAACTTCGACAATTTACTGCTTTCTGCATGCTTTAGCTTAATCTCGCAAACACTTTCTTAGTCTCGCTAGAAAATAGTAGCTCATCGAGTAGGCAGTAGATCTAGACCCCGGGTTGATAATTTGAACTTGCCCTATTCTGCATTTCCAACCTGTGATTGCATTTGGTCGTAGTTTGGTGTTGTGTCGTAACGTGTCAAGTTTTTGGCGCCGTTGCCGGGGACCCTAGGTTATTGTAGAAACGTGAATGTCTATTACTTTAGCATTTTCTTTACTGCATTTCTCTCTCTTCCACCTGTGTGCCCTTACGGGTTGTGTTTGCGGTCTGTATGCAGGTAGTGCATGACCTGTAGCCAGTTGGGAGATCTATTTTTGTTAGACCAAGAGCTTGAACGGACTTGTATAAACTTCAAGCGAGCTTTGAAGGCACGACTGGCTGCGGAGGAAGCTTTGGAGCAGCTGCACATCAATCAGGCGGAAGACATGGGGGACCCAAACGATATCGCGATTATCCTCAATGAGCACACCGTGGGATACTACTGGACTGGAAGAGCCGCGAACATGAGGTCGCCCATATAGCACCCTCAAGTTCCAGCCAATAAATTCGAGGTGAGTACCTCTGTCATCACCATGCTACGCGGCTCGATAGTATTCTGTGGCAAGGAGGGGGAGTATCCCAGATCGCACCTATGGCGATTCCACGAGCTCATCGATGGGATCAAGATAAATGGGGTCCCACCCGATGCCATCCAACTGAGATACTTCCCCTTCACTCTGGAGGGGCATGCCAAGGAGTGGCTGGACACTCAGCCTCCAGGATCGATCACCACGTTCGCCAACCTGGCGGACAAGTTCCTCACCCGCTATCATTCTCCGTCAAAGGCGGTGGACCTACAGAAGCTGATAACCCATTTTGCACAGGAGGAAGATGAAACCATTCGGGATGCTTGGGAAAAATACACCAGTTTCTTTCTTAAGTGTCCAAATCATGGTTTCAATGATGCCTTCAAGGTGAGCACCTTCTACCACGCCCTCTTCCCATGAAGACAAGCAGCTGATTGACTCAGTTTGTGGCAGGAACATGCTGACCAAGACGCCGCCGCAGCTGAATCAGCTCTTCGAGGAGATGGTAGAGAAAGGGTATGATTGGGGTACTGCTAGGAGGTCGAGGCGAGCACTAGGACGGGGTGTACATGTTGTGGGAACCCACTCTTCCGATTTGGTGCAGGTCCTATCTAAGCTGGTCTCGACCATTGATCGTTCTGGGATGGTCCTAGGGACAGGACAACAGCAGGCGATGCATTGCCAGTGGTGCAAGGGCACCCATCATTCTGTGGAAGATTGTCAGGTGATGAGGGAGTCAACTACACCCCAGGAGCATGTGAACTTCATCAACAATGCCAGGCGCAACGACCCTTACAGTAATACCTACAATGAGGGATGGCGCCAGCATCCAAATTTCTCCTGGAGTAGCAATAACAATCCCAAGCCACCTAGCTTCCAGGCTCCTGCAGTTGGTTTTCAAAACCAGAGGCAGCCATACCAGGCCCTTTATCAGCACAAACAGGGGCAGTCTTTTCAATAGCCCCCACAACAGCACCAGTACCAGCAGCCTGGTGCATCTCCATCAGTCCCAGCAGCAGGCGATCCCGTCTCCATGAGTCCAATGAAACTGAATTTGGCTCTGGACGCCTGGCGGTTCACGGCTTGCGGCTCCAGTTCACGGTCTTAGTGACTGTGAACTCACTGCTTCCACCGTGATCTGCTACTTCCTCCATCCTTTGACCCGATTTTCCCCTTTTCTTCTAACTTTCGACTCCAGGGTTGGTACCACCTGCCATAGTCTGAAAAACATCAAATGTGGCAAAACCCAGCGTAAAACCAAACCTCCCGGGTAACAAATGCCTCAAACGACTAAGGAAGATGGGTTAAAAAGGTGTACAAATAAGCCCGAATCAATTACAAGGGAACAAGAGGCTGAGTTTGTTGTTGACTATTCACCACCAACTCCTATTTTGCTGCCATTTATGAAGTTTGTTCACTACTTTGGCCAAACCATCTTTCATATGAGCCAGAGAGAAGATGTTGGAAAGGTAACCACTACTGACATGATCCTATATCATGCTCTTCTGAACAACTAGAGGTTTCATCCATACTTGCTTCCTATTACTAAAGAGGGAAATTCCTAAAACCTTCCGATGTACACCACCATACTTCTCCATGAGGAATTCTAGGAGGAAGCTATATTCTTAATTAGCCCTGCACATCGACGATTATAAGGAGGAGTATGGATTTCTCTTTGGGATGCTTTGGCAAGGACCAATTCATAGGCAACCAGCTTTCATCTTCAGAGTAGAGAGGGTGACAAGCAAGGGAGTAGACCTTGCCAAGAATGATATCCCATGCTAATCTCCATGTTGTTTGATCTATTCAAACATTTATGAATTGTTTCATTAGAAAATTGCCATACTGTTTTGAGAAATCAAGTGTAGGGTAAGCCAATGTGTGAGGTATCATTTTATTGCAAAAAATTGGGTTTTGGAAGAGATACTACTTGAGCTCTAGTGGGTAATTCCTACAAGGTGATGCTAGTTCCTCCCTAGTACAAGTAAAATTTCCACCCATTGAATTGATAGTCAACTTGAGAATGTGTTTTTGAGGGCACGGATACAGCTTCCAACACCCCTTTACTTCATTGACCCTCCACACAAGTTGAGGTATAGAATGTTCTAGCTCATTCTCAATCAATAAGGGTCTAAGGCTCTAATAAGTAAGGAGCCCTCCATACTAGAAAGTTCTAGAAAAAAGAAAAAAATATTGATGAAGAAAAAAAGAAAAAAGAAAAAGAGTATATGTTTGAATAAGACAAAGTGCTCATAGAATTGTCAAGTTGATGGTAGAAAGCATTCAAAGCTTAAGCATTTATCATAAGCTTCACCATATCTTTTTGAGACTCTAATGCGTAGTTAGTGGTTGATGATTAGGTTGAATTGCATGATGATTATTGCATGTTAAGGTGGTTAGGGTTCTCTTGTGCTATTGCTGACCTTGTAAGTTACTTATGATCTACTACCTAAGATCATGGTTGAGGGACTATTGCTAGTGTGCTTTGAGTTGTATTATTGTGAGTATTGTTTGATTGTCGACAAGAAAAGTTCAAGTGTGGGGTATTTTTGATGACACTCTGTTTATGATGTTTATCATTGATAGACCGTTATTTACACATGTTTTTACCCCCGTTCTTACACCGTTTGAGGTGTTGATTCTCGTGTTTTAGGCCGATTTCACGCTAGGTTGTGCTTGTTTGTGATATTTCAGGTCCTAGTACGTGAATGGAGTCTGGGGTCGAATGGACGAAGATCGGACGCGCGGCGAGGTTTCAAGGAAGCCGCACGGGCAGACCGTGGCATCACACGGCCGTGCAAGTGACAACCCACGCCGTGTGGGATTGTGCGAGAGCAAACACGGGCACAAGCAACCTTCACACGGCCGTGCCATTGAGCACCCTGGCCGTGTGATTTTTGCCAAGGCCAAACACGGGCAGACTGGAATTTTCACACGGCCGTGCAACCCTGGCCGTGTGAGATGGCTGAAGGTCGACTAATCCATACGCTGCGTTTCGACTCGCACGGGCAAAGTGGTGAGCCACACGGCCGTG